ACAGCAGTTATGCAGTACAATTGAGAAATCGACCTCATGTCTCAAGGTGTGTTTTAGCATTCCCGTTACGATATATGTATGTACATATATGGGCTCCGGTAAACACTTTACACCAGGTGCGTCGTGCGCTCGCTTCACTCATGTATAATAAAATAAGAAAAAGGTAAATTCGCTCTTGTTCGTCATAATTATGTTAATTCGGTGTCGACGTCGGTTTTATGACTTGTGTCAGCTCTTTACCACGAATTAGCCGTAGTTTTTAATTTATATACATATAAAAAATTTCATTACAAATTGTGAACATTTATGATAATTTTTTGTATTGCTTAGGTGGGTCGACAAGCTCACAGCCCACCTGCTGTTAAGTGGTTACTGGAGCCCATAGACATCTACAACGTAAGTGCGCCACCCACCTTGAGATATGAGTTCTAAGTTTTCAAGTATAGTTAGTTACAACGGCTGCCCCACCCTTCAAACCGAAACGCATTACTGCTTCACGACAGAAAAAGGCAGGGTGGAGGTACCTGCCCGTACGGACTCATAAGAGGTCCTACCACCAGTATGTAATTACGCAAATTATAACTTTAATGTTTAAATGTAACTACGTTTATTTATATTTTAAAGAAATTTAATAAAAAAATCTTTGAACTATTTTAATTAGCATTCCAAACATACGGATGTAGAATTGGTCTCGTAAATTAAACATAAGTTAAGCTTAATATGCAAACGATATAAGTTAGGGTTTTAAATAAACCTTGGGTTTAAAGTCCAAACCAATATCACGCAGACTTTTTTAAATGAAAAACTGTTGATATATCTAACCCACGAGTTCTATTCGCATTACGGAACAACAAGATATGTTAAATCTAAATATTTGTATTAAAACTTTTCGGTAATTTTCCAATCAACATAACAGTAACAATACATCGCACAGAGAATAGATATGATTAAAATAACTTTACGGTTTTAAAGAAACAATATAAAACTTTAAAGTTATCTTAATTTTATGTAGGCTCTTGAATATCAACTATGTCATTATCAGCGCTATGACATCTGCAAGCTAAGTCTGCGAAGTATCAAGACTGAAGATTTAAAGAAGATTGTTTCTTAATGAGATGCGTTTCACTCTAAGTATGAACACCAAGCGTATTTTCATAGAGTTTGGTGTTCTACCTTACAGTGAAATGAACTCATTCTCTCACAACTTGGGATCCGACGGGACTACAAAATTGAAGATTTAGTTAAAGTTTACTATTAAATAATAACCTAGACTATATTTATTTTCTAAGAATCATGTAAAATTTTATTTTCGTTACAATATGATTTTTTTGTTTTAAAAAGAAATACTGCGAATCCAAAAGTGTACATAATAATATGTACGTATATGTTGTATCTTTAATACAATTCTTAAATTTGTCAAACAAAACCATTGGATCCACAAGGTGTTTTCTATGCGCTCACTCTAACCAGCGCCATCTAGGCGGGCTTCGGATAGCCTGCCGACCGAGAGGGCTGGTGGTCGTGGCGCCGACGACCGCCGGTCCGGCGTCCCGAGGGGGAGGGTGATGGGAGAGATGTACTCCGCACTGAGCGCTTCACTTTCCCCCCTTTGCCTTTTCATGAGTACTGTCTCATGCGAGGTTTGGACGTTGGTTGTTGAGCGACAGGAGGTTTTAGTCGGTTCGACTCCGACATGCCCCGCCCTCCATCCCCAGTGGAGGGCGGAAGTCCGGCGAATTACTCCTGACCAAAAAATAATAATAATGCTAAGTTCTCTTCAACACGGTATTTAATGTAAGCTTCGCCCGATGATTGCAATTCAACCCTAATCACTGACACTTCAAGATGTAAATTCATTTCATATTTTAGCAGTTAGTTGCGTTTTGTAATTAAAAAGAAAACTGACCATTTGCAAAAAAAATTGGTGGTAAAACTAAACTGTTAATAATAATCAATCCCTCCTAAACAAAACAAAATTAAGCCTACTTTTGTCTGCTTAAATATTATAGCATAGTACATTTGTGGAAAGCTCAGTAGCAGTAATCACAAGGAAGGAGAAAGTGCATTTTTAGCTTAAATTTAACCTTTAATAGATACTCTATGCGCACAAATATTAACATGAATTTATTTAGATAAAAACATTTAATAGAATTTTCTATCATTCCCCGAAAGAACTTTGGGTATCCGCATAAAATATTCAATAAAGATCCTCACTGATGGCAGAATATTTAGTTGTTGGGATAAAGATGTGACACTGCGGAGACCGTTTGGTACGATTTAAGACCATCTACGTTGAAAATTTTCAAACTTATTTGCAAAAGTCAACTCTTTTGAGTTTTTCCGTTTTCAGCATATCAACAAAGAGTACAGAGATTTATTAATAAATAAAAATAAAATAAAAAACTTTTATTTCAAGACATCAGTCTCATATTGTGTTAGTGACCTTACTGAATAAAGGTACCTTTTGAATAAAGGTAACCTGACCTTAATGAATATGAATAATTTTGTAAATTCATTTAAAAACTAAGTACCTAAGTAATTATAAAGGTATCCTAATTACAAACAGGAATATCATTACCAACTATTATCTGCATTATCGCATTCTTGCATGGCACGACGCTCTCTAAAAACTTCTTTTTTAATTTCTATTTCAATATTCAAATCCTTTCAATAACTTATTTACCATAGGTCCGGTAACGGTATTACTAGGAACAGATTTCCACACAGGGGTAAGTGGGAAAATATTAATAAAAACGAAAGGCCCTCGTTTTGTTTATTCAAAATTCATGACACATGAATTCCTGAGGCCGCGCTTTCTGCATGAAAAGTTTATTGAAAGTCGCCTACCTGGGTTTATTTTCGGCGTTTTTGTTTAAAAGAATATGTGGTGCTTTGTTCTCAGATTAATTATTTACCTTTGAGCGAATATGAATTTATATTGAAACTCAGGAATTTCTGACTCTCTTACGAAAGAATTTCATTCATATACTATTCGTGTAATTAAATTATGAACTGTTTTGGAACGAAGCTCCTTATGGGGACGATGCGGAGGGGTACCCTAACCGGGAAAAAACGTCCGTAACGTAAGATTTTTATTAGTAATGCACACGGTGTACGACTTAACTTTGTAATAACGTACAAAAAATAACATATTTTTTTATCATTCATTGATCACGATCTCAGAGCGTTCGTTTGCGCAATACACTAACTCTTATGCAAACAACCGTGAATTAAGTGTACCACAATAAGTTCGCACGTTACTGAATGACCGTGTGTTGTTGCGAAACCTCCAGTTTTATCTTCTTTATACCTCGAATAGAACTTAAAATTCATATTTTTATAATATGGAACTTCGTTCCTATCTGGTTTCCCACAACAGCACACATCTTTTTTTTTTATTACACAGAAGTGTGCTCACTATACACATGCTACACGATGCAAATATACCGCAAAGCAATTGCTGTATCCTTGCCTTGAGACAGAAAGTGCAAGCCATATCCTACCTTATGGCTATCTTACCGTTCATACCGCAAAACATAAATGCTTGTCTACGGATGATGGTAACTATTCTATGCTAGTTGACAAAAACATCGTCTCACCAGTCATAGTTGAACTTTTCTCAATATGTTTATCTTCGCAAGCAAAATTGAATTGAATTCTCATTAATCGCGATTGGCTTGATAATGGTGAGAAACTCATTTGATAATGATGAGAAACTCACTAAAGCCCACTGACGCCATAAAACGAATTCTGACACTCACCTTGAAACATAAGTTCGAGTGTCAATTGTGTTTGAACAGCACGTATTCAAGATAGGAATTAGGGGAAGGAATAATGAAGCTACTATTACCGAGAGATTAAGGGGACGTTGTACTTACTCGTAGTTATAACCTCGACTTATATCAATCTGATGTTGCATATCCGTCTCTATACTGAACTAACTTTGTTAATTATTTTTTTATTGCTTAGATGGGTGGACGAGCTCACAGCCCACCTGGTGTTAAGCGGTTACTGGAGCCCATGGACATCTACAACGTAAATGCGCCACCCACCTTGAGATATAAGTTCTAAGATCTCAGTAAAGTTTATAACGGCTGCCCCACCCTTCAAACCGAAACGCATTACTGCTTCACGGCAGAAATAGGCAGGGTGGTGGTAAAAGTAACTTACGGTTTTATAGAAATATCTGTTAATTCTTTACAAATATGGAATACTGGTTGCAAATTCTGCGAAGCACTGCTCTTGCTAGGGTCAGTGTTAGCAACACTCCGGTTTGAGCCCCGTGAGCTCACCTACACACTTTAGGGTGAAGCTGAAATAGCCTCTCAAGGCTATCAGCATAGGTAGGAAAAAAAAGTGTTACAAATATGAAATATTGAATATGGAACACTTTCTCGTCTAAATTGAATAAAAGTAGGACAATGTCGGATACTGTAACCACCAAACAAATTAGATCCTGAATTCATGAAAAAACCTTTTGTATTTTTGTATGAGTTAACATTTTCAATTAGAGCTTACTAAAAATCCGGACAAACTCTGTTCGGATTATTTGTCTGGAACCCGTTCGATCCGCCCTAATCCTGCTTGGTAATGTCCACAAAAAGGTTTCGAAAAGGCTCCCTTAGGCTATTTTGTTAGCTTAGATTTTCCTGTGGCAACTCCTATAATTACCTCGGCCGCTGTTCCCGGATCTTATCTGATCATATGAAAATCACGTCTACCTGAGACTTCACACCTAGTTAATATCGATATTTATATTGTTAATTTTACCGTCTAATAGACCCAACACACTAACAGTTTTGGACCATCCGCAAAATATGGAGTTTCTAATCATTTGTGACTTAAAAAAATATCGATTTTTAACACTAAAGACAAGAGAATATGAAGATAGAAATTCTCTTAGTAGTGAAATAAGAATGAGAATTACAATCGACAAGTTTAACCTAAGTCCAAGCAAAATGTGAAATCAATATAGACCTAAAATGTATGGTTAATTACAGATGAATTTTGCGAGGAGTACCCTCACAATCTGATACCGACACCCGGCTACTGGATCGAGTGCTCGCGTCAGAAGATAGCGAGCGATACTATTTGGGACGAGTCTGAATCCGAACATGACAGTGGACCCGATCGTGAAAATGCAGAAGGTAAGTTGATAATGTTATATAAAATCAGCAGTATTCTTATTAATTTACAACTACATTTTGCAATTTTTATGGCAATAAGTACATATTAAATTAATTATTATCCTTCTAGATTAGTAGACAGACTCACGAATCCATCTAGTGTTAAATGGCTGGCGAACCACGTAGACATCCCAAAGTGAATACCACTCTCCGCTTTTAGAGATGCGATAGAATTCTCGATTTTTTTTCAAAAACGCACTTTTTCAAACTAACCACAATACTATTTTACATCTGAAATATCCTTGATAATAGAATCTCTACATGTAGGCTAGATAAGGACTTATTGTAATAATTGGCATTGAGCCTCGCTCCGTAAGAGTCGGAACATATAAGGTCAATATTACAGTCATGTCGCTATCAAATACTCATTATGGCAATACAACCAATATCACTACCTCGTGTGTCAAACTCAAGAGAGCGGCTCCTTTCATATCACAATCAAGAATGAATCTTTTTGTTTACAATTTAATAAAGTCTACGTAAAAACTCATTTTTAACGTGCATCCAAAGCGTACACAACGTACATCAACGAATAAAAAAATAACAAAGACGTCTTTGACAACGTACGCCAAATGTTATTAACTTCGCTTTAAGTGGCAGAGTTTTTAGAGTTATGTTTTTCATTTGTCTTTATACGAACATACGATCGATGAAGTTTTATTCTGTTGTGTTTTTTAATACGCTTTTCAGACGTATGTGTGTAAGGAATTTTGTAATAGTATGTAACGGAATCTTTGAACCCTAGAATTATCGAGAATATTCCACATAAGTCGAGTATTGTGTTTCCGCTATCTAACAATAGATGGCGTTGTACTTCTCGAGCGCTCTAGATACTACTAGATCCTTCTATATTTGTTAGACTATTCGGCGATAGATGGCGTTACTCTTACCGGCGTATTTTTTTTTTTACTTAATAAGTGGACAATCCACTGTCCATCTAAAAATAAGCAGAAACCGAAGTTCTTAGACTTAAACATATTATCTCAAGGTAGTTAGCGATATTTACTTTGTGATATTCATAAAATCCGATAGCCAATAAATATCAGGAGAGCCTTGTAAACTATTATATGGTTTCGTTAAATCATTTAATATTAGAAAGATTTCATTTAAGAAAATGAAAAGAGAGTCGTGCTTACTACAGTAGCCAATAGTCTTGAATACTAACCGTTGAAACACCGGTAAGTTCTAGAATCGTGCTGGCTGAGCTAAGTTCTGCTTTATATATCAAATATATTACAAATACAAAATTTGGACACGTAATACGCATAAGTTGTTATTTGTAACGGAGCCATAAAAGGATTCGTACCTAGACAGTGTGAATACGTGTCCTGTTTGCTAGAATTGCTAAAAATGAGATTTTCAATACAAATAACTTCTACTTTATTCAGAACATTTTACGCTTGCATACAAACTTACCTTTCAAACATAAATTTTTAGATAAGAACGAGAATAACACGATTCACCACTTAATAAAGTTTTGCTAAAAAATAATCGAAGCTACCAAATCATGCAGTTTTTTTATCAGTTCACTCTAGAAAATATTTTTTTCATAAAACAGAAAATAGATATTCAGTTAATCCATTTACATAATTTAGACAGACTGTCATAATAAGAATGGACGTAAATTTATCGAAGACGATACGAATGCGAATTGAATAATGGAACAGAAAAAACACAATAACAAAAAAAAAAAAAAAACATTCGGAAATCTATCAAAAGTTTTGTATACAACAAGCACACGGCCCTAAAGTTAGCGTCTCAGATAACGCGAATGAGAATTGAAGGGGGATTATTCTCCCCCTGTCACATTAACCGCGAGTCGAGATGAAAATTAAATTTTCCCCTCCCTTTTTCGTACTCCGGAACACCTTATACAATATGTAAGGTCCTTTACTGGCCCGACGTGAGCACTTAGATTTCATTCCGTTGAAAAGTCTTTAATTAATTGAAACGAGGATTATATTTCGACGACTCTGGCTATTGCGTCAGTGTTTTTGAAACCAGAAGATTGAATCCGTATTTATTCTTTTTATCGGATGGGTGGACGAGCCAACGTCCATGTATTTATTCAAAATTTTACGATTTTTTCGATTTGTCGGAAATACTAAGTAGAATGACAGTAAAAAACACGATATCAAACCGTAATAGTAGCTTAAATTAAGTAGATTATATTGAATTGACTATCAATTATTTTTTCCTAAGATGCGAGGACGAGCTCACGGCCCACCCGGTGTTAAGTGGTCACCGGTGCCCGTAGACGTCAACAACGTAAATGCCGCTACTTACCTCGAGCCATGAGCTTTAAGTCTTAAGTTTTTACAGTGCCTGGCTACCACACGTTCAAACCGAAAAGCATAATTGTTTCACGGCAGAAATAGAACGATGATGCCTTACCATCAGTGAATAACCATTATTAAATTCATTTTTTTTTTTCGTTAAACGAATCAATAATATTCAACTTTATTTGAATTTTGTCTAACACCAAAAAGAAGCAGATCTTATGCACAAATAGGACCTATTGAGTTATGAAAAATTCGATTCCAAAATTCTTCTTGTCATCTATTTTATTCGTACGTAAAATGATAACGCTACAGACTGTAAAAGCTCTGTCGAGTACAAAGGTATACGAAATAGGGAACAAAAGCCTGTGACACAATATACTCGCATGCCTTTTGCATTTTATTCCCTGTTTTTTGTTTCCTCTATATTTTCTTTTCAATATTATCTGCGCTGGTAATCACGCGCGTTTTCTGATATTTTTTTTAAGCTTCGTTTCCATTGCTAGTTGTTACTATACATCATTGTATTATAGTTTAATTTTATTTATCATTTATCTCCTAATTTTAAATGAAAAAACTACTTAATTCTACATAGCCACTGCTGAACAGTTCTTTGTTAAAGGTCTAGCGATGACAACATGTTTTCTTCTACGTAATCGCGTACATTAGTACTATTTTTTTTTTATGTTTTATACGTACATTTAAAAATATATATGCACACAAATATTTTGTCAGAACCAAGTTTTCAGTTTCTTATCACTACTCAATAGAGACGCGAATCCAATGCAGTGGTAGATTCAGCGTAGCACTACTCTTGCTAAATGCCAAATTGCTCAGGCTGAGCCCCGTGAGTACGTCTACATACCCGGTCAAGCTAAAACAGCCCCTCGACGCTATAAGTAGCAGACAGAAAAAAAAATAGACCGCACTAAGAATCAGTTTGTAAATTTCTAAAAATGCATCAGTCATAAAAAACTGTATTGTATTTTATTTTCCTACGCACTATTGCGTACCTTATTTGTAAGCTCTAAAAAATATACCATTAGTTCGTTAATATTCAGATACCTACTATGTATTTCTGCCACAGTGTACTTCTGCTTTCCGATTCGCTATCGCAGAAGCTATTTTGAATCAAAAATAAAATAATCAATATACTTTTACGCTACAAAATAACTGCTAAAAACAGAATTCCTGTTGGAGTGCATTTTATTCAGTGAACTTTGAATTTAATTAAAAGGTAACTGAAAACGTTGAATCGTATTTCAAATTCATGAAACAATTGGAATTTTAGTCATGAACGCTTCTGTTTGTCATCTGTGTAATTTTAAAAGGTTACATGATATACTTTAAATGATATACTGTGATTCAATATTTATTTCGTTTTTTTTTTTTTAATAACTGGAGGATGTATTGTTCGTCGAGCATATTGGACATATCGCGGTCAATCGCGGATGCAGCAATGAAGCAATGCTTGTATTCTGAGAATGCATCAATTCCTAAAAGAAATCGACGGTTCTTGAAAAGGAAAAGCTTAACACGCAAACCTGTCGCTTCCGAGCATAACGCTGTTTTTTTAGAATGGCGGGTATGCTTGTAGTTTCAAGGCATTTTTAGGTTTACCACCAAATGTGAACAAGCTCAAGAAGTCAAGTTTTCGAAGAAAGCTTGTTTTCTCAAGGGCAGCTACTTCGGGAATACTTCTACTACCAGCTCGAAATTGCTATCTGCGGAGAAGAACGCTCTCAATGGAACTTAATGATACGACAGGCTAAGTGTCGCGTCGAGCTCTTCAATGAGTTCAACAAGTAGACATTGCTTTACTACGGTTGTTGTCGGCCTTCGAACTAGTACAATCCAATAAAAACTGAGAATAGATCGGGTGTATCCATCCATCACTTCTCGTTTAGGACGTTGACGCTTCTTGCGTGATGCGGGTCTTTTTTTTGTCATGAGGAAATCGCCGGACTGCCGCCCTCCACTGGTGATGGAGGGCGGGGCATGTCGGAGTCGAACTGACTAAAACCTCCTGTCGCTCAACAACCAGCGTCCAAACCTCGCATGAGACAGAACTCATGAAAAGGCAAAGGGGGGAAAGTGAAGCGTTTAGTGCGGAGCACATCTCTCCCATCACCCGTGATGCGGGTCTGGGCTGTAGTTAGCGGCGGCTACGATTAGAGACTTATCATACCACATTATTGACGCTGTCTTCATGTACCTACGGAACGACATCCTTTCTTCTTCACCAGTTGCCGGCACTATTCAGTAGAAGGACAGCAGTATTATATTTGCTATTTAGTCTAACCTGATTACTCTTAGATAATAATATGACTATCGCGAAGTATTACGAAAAATATATATGTCGGAGACCACAATTATTAACACCATCGTCAGACATGGTAGGGGCGAATAGTTTGATCGAGCTAAGAGATATATTGAGTACACCAATCACGTTTGTTGACTTGGAACAATTTAGAAATCTCCTGACGTTAGCAAACGAAAACGAATGACAGTTCTTAGGACGGAGGCACTGCTCTTCAAGAAGGCTGGTTGTTCAGTGTGTGATGGCGTCTACGCGCCTACATCGGCTAGGCTCTGTCGTAGCACGAAGTTAGCCGAGCTCCGACGATACCGCAATCGTGATGCCATCTCTCGGGAATCGTGCTGCGTTGCGTTTAGCTACCA